CTTATCTATTTTTCATATCTTTTCTTCTTTTACTTTACCTCACTTTTTCTTTTCCTTTTTATATTTTGTATTTCAAATTTTCCTTTTTATTTCTAACTTTTAAATATGTATCTTTAAAATCTCAATAAAATATTATATATATAAAAAAAGAAACTGCACAGTCAGGATAGCTAAAGGGCCAAGGACAGAGATGACTCCATTATGACTCATGGTTGACTTCTTTCTCAGGTATCCCCATCTTTCAGATCTCAATAGCTTGATTCATGTCAGTATCGAAAGTGGAAGAATGACACATCACCACCCCACAGGTAAAGGAACACGGGGCAGCAGTCTTTCAAGGCTTGGGGGAAGCATAAAAAATGATGGTGGGATGGAGAGATCTTCTTCAGCCCTGGTAAACCATCTATATGCATGCAGAAGCGGCCCCTATTGTTTTTGGGGTGGTGTCTTTCTAAGCAGCAGGATGAGGTGATAAAATCCTGTAAGTAGGACTTGGTTGAACCACTTAAGCTTTCAGATAAAAGATCTTATTTTTTAATGTTCTTACATCTGTAAGGCTGCTTGCAATAATAAAACCAACATATTAGGCAAAGAATTTGATTGAAATCTTTCTCCCTGATGTGTTAAGACTTCTCTTTGCAAATAATTTCATAGACAAGGAAGCATTTTAAAAAGCCACTTTATGTCTCCATTTTGGGGAGATGTATTTCATTTTGACACTTCATTCCTCTTGCATGGATTACCCTCTGTCTTCTCAGTAGACATCTGAAAGCAGACGTGACTTTTTAAGAATCAATAATGCAAGTCATATATCTGTAATTGTGCTTTTTAAAAGATATTTATCAGCAAATGACGTGCTTGTTCAACCAGTGATCTTTCCCTTCTCTTCATGCAGGTTATCTGTTGTAATTTACATTTTATTAATTCAGCATAGAAATGTTTACAGATGTATGCATTTGAAATATGTTATTCTTCATTTTATGGTGATTTTGGCAAATATTTTCAAATAAGTCGCCAAACTGTTTTAGGAATCTGGGGAGAATGGTTGTGGATGTGTTGATGGCATCAGAGATATGTGCAACAAGTCCATAGCCAGCTTCCCTGTTGTAAACTGAACCACAGTTTAATAATGTACAGAACAGACTTTTCCAAAAGTTTCTCTCTGGAAAAATACAAGTCCTGCTTGTTTCAATTAAGTTTTCATTCAAATATCTCTTTAAACTATAGGGACTTTTGGGAAGTCAGGTAAATTTTAATAATTCAGTCTAATTTGTAGAATAACTAAGAAGAAAAAAAAGGTGGGGGGAGATATAGAGTCCTGAAAGACCCATCCTTTCTCCATTTCCTCTGTTGTAAGCTACCTGGGGGCTCTGGCCTCTGGCCTCAGCCCTCTTTGCTGCTTATGCTGTACAGGGCCTGCCCCTGGAGCTCTGGGGAGCTGGGTTGCTGAAGACTCTGTCCCTTGCGCTGGAGTACGTTCAGGCTGTTGGGGTTGAGAGTGAAGCCAGCTAAACAAATGGTTGTAAGTCGAGGACTATCTGTGGAACCTTAGAATTAAATTGATGCGGGCAATTCTAAGGCTACTTATATGGTTGTTTTGGACTCTTATTTCTCTAGGTCCCCATGTACCATGAGTTCTAGAAATGTACCTTTTGCAGTATTCAAAGCTAACTGAGCAGTCAGGAATGTCTGCAGGGGTGGGGTCAAAAAAATCAAGATGATAGCCACAACCATGTGATTGAAGCCCTGCCTGCTTTTTATGTATGTCACAATACATGTTAAAGGGGGAGCTTTGATTGCATAGTTGTGGCTATCATCTTGACTTTTTTGACCCCATCCCTTGTAAGCAATTGTGAAACAAGGTAAAGTTAATGGAATACAGATGGAATTTAAGAAGAATGTGGCTTTTTCTCCAGACATTTATATTATAGTTTCTCCTTTAGCCCCTAACATGTGGTTCTCATCCCCCAAATTATGTGTATCCAAGTTCTAGATCATACTTCAATGTAAAAACAGTAGCTCCATGTCTTCTGGATTTCACCTTCTATGAATTCCAATCACTATAGCTGGTGCAAGACATGATAGGCATTGTAGTTCAGAAAATCCAGGCAAAATCTGATTGCCTACCGGATATCCTCCCAACCTATTGATTCTCCCTTAGCTCTTGAAAATACCACTTCCCATGCAGGCTTCTTCTCTTCCTTCTTTCTGTGTTTAGGTACCTCTCAGAACAGGGCCTTGCTGACGGCCGGAGACCTGTTCAGTTTCCTTCTGTCTACGGTCCCACAGAGTGCGATGATATTTACAAAACCTTCAACCTGGGTGGCTGGGCTGGGCAGAACAGTCACGATACCCCCATGGTGGCCTATGATGCTTTGCGGGGTGCAGGGAACATCTGGGAGAAACTCTGTGGATGGGCCATGTTCCATGGGGGTGAGTCAGGAGGCAAGTACGTCCCCTGGTAAATCCTTCACCTCAAACCTAGCCAGATGTCACTTTTTTTTCCTGCAGTTGCATTCACTCATGCTTGAATTAATCCATGTTCTGGACTTGCACCATACACTGGCCCATAAAATATAAAATGGGCTGGGTTTGCATAACACCCTAAGCCACCTAGAAAATCAAGGTTAAAAATAACCAAGCTTAGGTTATATGGAAGTCAAAGGATGTTAGGAGAAGCATAAAAGTAAGTAGAATGCAGCGGGAATGGGGCACTTAAGAAGTGTATGTGCTTAAAGAAGAAAGAGAGTCAAGAATGAAGGGATGTTGAAAGAATATGGTCTGAATGCAAAGTGCTGCCTAGCATGAAAGAAACATTTAAGAATGAATAAGGATCAAATTGCAAAAGAAATGTATCAAGGAAAAGGGAATGGATCAAGAGGAAGGGGAAGACCAAGAAACTGGGGGTTCAACAGTTGATGAAATCTTCAGAAAGAGAGAGGTAAGAAGCTTAAAGAAGAAAAGGCAGCATACGAGGTTGTGGAAAACAAGGAGAGAAAGGCATAGAGAGGTATAGCGCATGCTGTTGGTGTAAGGTAGATTATTTCCTTTTCTTTGATCTCACGCCTTTACAGGTAGTCCTCGTTTAGTGATTGCCTTGCTTAGCGATTATTCACAGTTACGACTGTGATGAAGAAGTAACTTTGCGACCAGTCCTTGCATTTATGATCTTCACAGGTCTGCAGAGCAAAGGAAAGATGAAGTAAGATCATAAGCATAGTCACAGTTTCACTTAGTGACCGCTTTGCTTAACAACCAAGTTGCTGGTTCCGATTGTGGTCACTAAATGAGGACTACCTGTAGTTTCTTTGGCTTACTATTTCTTTTATGCATAACATTGCTTACATACATGATGGGTACATCTATTTGTATTCTTAGTATGATGTGCTAATGTAGCCACTAGGTCTTTAACTGACTGAGCACATTGGGTGAACACAATCTGTGTGCATGTGTGTTTCTCCTTATCCCACAGGGGACAGTGACTCCACAGGGGTGATCGCGGCAAGCTGTGGCCTTGCGTATGGTTTCAGATGTGTCCCAGGTGGAAACTACGTGGAGCTGGAATACCAAGACAGGATGGTGTCTGCGGCCAACTCTATCGGCTTGCGTGGGAACAGGTGCCTTTTTGAGAAGCCGTTCCCATATCTAATATCTTTGATTCCCAGGAAGGTGTGAGCTGAAAACTTGCAATAGATTGAAAACTCTTCTCTGAAAAATAAGCTGAAGTTGTCTTAGACATTTTTCCTTTTGCCTTGATAAGTTTTCAAGAAAGAAATGTTAGATGCTTGATTTTTAAGAACCTCTCCCTCCCAGGTCAAATACCCCCTTTGTTCTGGGAGACCTTCTCCCAGATGTGGATGAGTGCTGTGGTTGCTCAGTGGTGAGGGAAATGCACTCTGCACATGCCCAGAGGCATTCTCTTCTTTATTATTGTTTCACATATTCCATGGCTCAGCCCTGCAACTGGGGGCAAAATTCCTGGGAATAAAATCCTTGACCATTTCAAGGAATCCAGGAGTCTTAGCTCCCCTCTGTTGCATTCTTGTTCAAATAGATCCCATTTTCCTTCCCAAAGACCCAGGAGTACTGGACACACACAAAGGCCCAGCCAAGATGTTTTAATTTGGCACCAAGGTGGTGTTTTAGGGCAGCCATGCTGGGAGGTGGGTATGAAAAGAGAGGAAGCTTAACCCCCAGGCAGGATGGCAACTTAAGGCAGAAATACCATGGACACACCTTTCCCTCCAGTGGGTTTGATTAGAAGGCAATTCAGAAGATGATGGGATTCTCTACAATATGGGGTTAGGGGAACCATTTCAAACCCCACATAGTCCTAAGAATAACCACTGTCAATTTAACAGGAAGTCTATGACAGCTGTGGTCAAGCACGGTTTGGATTGCCAACAGCAGCAACAGATAACCCAGTCAGTCACAGTCCCAGGCAACAAAGTCTAAAGATAAGATCTCATCCATGGAAGGAAAGAATGGTGAGAATCCCGGAGATTCTGGTACAAGATCAAAACGAAAGGTGTCCACAAAAGCAAACCATGATGAGATGATTCCAACAGAGCAGTACCTCCAGACGATCATGCTGAGAAGGGATTAACATCAGCAGAGCAATGATGAGATTGGGCACATCCAATCAAGCAGGACTCTCTACTGGCAGACCATGATTCTGTTTGTCCACAGAGAAGCAGAAGAAGATAGGAAGAGGGCAGGCATATCAGGGTGACCTTATGCATGATTTTGACAGACATCGAGGATACTAGGAAATTGACAAGCTGATAACAGTCATGATGATCAAAGGCACTGGTGATATCCTTCTGGTCGTAGCAAGAGTTCCTCGCAGTCACACAGGAAGACTTCAAGGTTTCACTGGAGTTTGTGCAAGATACAGGAAATTGTTGGAAGTTGCAGCTAGGACTCCACGGCAACTGATATGAGTACTATAAACACCTCCAGGCAGGTCATTAAGCACCCCTGTGCTCTGGAAAACAGAAAAAAACCTGAGGATTAGAGGAGGATTTAACACAGTGTTTTTCAAGCTTGGCAACTTTAAGATGTGTGGACTGGCTGGGGAATTCTGGGAGTTGAAGTCCACACATCTGAAAGTTGCCAAGCTTGAAAAACATTGGTTTAACACATTCTTCTTACACCCCACCCTCTCCTCCCTTGCAAACTAGCCCTTCAGCCCGTTGATTAGCAAGCTCTCTTCTTCTGAACAAAAAAGGAGAGCAGAAATCAGCTGCTACCACTTGTTTCTTTTCTGTGGATGTTCCTGGGGACTAAATTTGGGGTGCAAAACACCTGCCCTACTACAAAGCCAAGCCCTTTCCCACAAAGGTTAGCAAAGCCATGAGACTTTACCATGAGAATTCTTCTGTCAATGAGTCGACACAAGTTGTTCCGACTGCCACCAGCTACTATGTAGTCAGCACCAAGGAAGTGGCAAGTATATATCTGGGGGAAAAGGAAGAGAAGGGTCCCTTAATTAGACCAACCAAAAAGGGACCCTAAAGGAATTATTCTTCTTTGCCAAGAACGATCAACTTTCAGTTGGCAAAAGTGCACCATTAAAATCACATTAAGTGTGATACAATCCAAGTAAATGAACCAGACTACATGATGGGGCTACAGATAAAGAAACCATGGCTGCTGAAATAGTGGCAAAGAATAAAACTGAGGCATTATTTCACTTTCATTCCCCAATCCTTGAAAAAAGTTTTCCTGCGATCATCTCCAACCTCCCTGGTCTTGCAATACCAAGAACCAACAGCAGAAAACATGGTCCCACCCCAAGTCCACCCAGACTCTGCAGCGACAAATATCTCATTCCACACAAAAAGGAAAAAGAAAAGAAAGAAAGAAAGAAAGAAAGAAAGAAAGAAAGAAAGAAAGAAAGAAAGACAGAACGAAAGAAAGAAAGAAAGACAGAACGAAAGAAAGAAAGAAAGACAGAACGAAAGAAAGAAAGAAAGACAGAACGAAAGAAAGAAAGAAAGACAGAACGAAAGAAAGAAAGAAAGACAGAACGAAAGAAAGAAAGAAAGACAGAACGAAAGAAAGAAAGAAAGACAGAACGAAAGAAAGAAAGAAAGAAAGAAAGAAAGAAAGAAAGAAAGAAAGAAAGAAAGCGAGCAGTCTGGTCAGGTTCTTTTTCCAGTAGAAGAGAAAAAATGATTGGACAGTGTCAATTTACCCCTGCTCATTTCTCCTGGAAAATGGAGGTAGAGATGGAAAGCCATCAAGCCAGCACTCCCATTACAGGACCTACACGGACTGCTGAAGTCCAGAAGCCAGGAGAAGGGATGAGGGGACAGTTCCCTCCAAAGAGGAAATGGGCTATAAGAGCTCCAAATGTAGCTTCAGAACAGCAGTCATCTTTCACCACAGCTGAGCCAAAAATGAACAGTATCATTGTTGAAGAAAGATGATGGTGTCAGATCACAGGGTTTGCAGAGGTTTAAGCTTTTTGGGTGGAAGTGCTCGGAGTCTGGTTAAATCCAAGTGCATTTGCACGAGAAGATAAGAGAAGGGATTCCATGCGTCTTATAGATTTGATATATATCTCATTTCAAGAAGGAACCCTACTGAAAAATGTATGATGGGTTAATTTCACCCTTCCCTATGCTGGATGGAGTTTATGGGAGATGAAGTCCAACCCTTCTGGAGGACACCAGCCTTGGGGTAATGTTGGCTTTGCCTGAGTTTTGGGAATTATAAGAAATGGTTCTTCAACCTGTGAGTGACCCCGGAAATCTTCTGGAATGTCCATTATCTTGGCACACGTTTCAGCATCCCAGATCTAGGGTAGAGGCGAAAAATAAGCATTTATACTTATTGGCTGGTTCATAGATTGTATTTAGCCCAGATTTTTTAGCAATGGTTTCTCAGAGAAACCTTTATGTTCTGAATACATATAATGCAAAGCCATAAATCGTGTCTTACAAAGCAAAATGGCAGGTTTTCACATCTTACTAAGCTTAGTGTAATATTTGAATCCTGTAAATGTCTTGTTCTATAAACCTTGAATTTAAAAACCCAGGGCTTAGGGAATTACCAGAAATATGCATGCAAATATATAACGTATCTTTTTAAAGGAACATTTTAATGATTCGTATTATATCACATCTCATTTATCTCAAGTATTCGAGTCAAACTGGAGCTCCTGCATACATTTTTTACTATATAATGCAACAATAGTAAAGTGATCTGGGCACATTCTTGCACTCCCTGTAAATTTGCTTTGTTCTGGGCAAGGAAATCTACCCTATCTTCATTTTACAGATGAGAATAGAAATTTGGTCCTCTTCCAGACGAATACCTCAAAGCAATAACCCATGCAGACATTGCACAGCAATAACAACATTGCACTTTCCCCGTGTATATTCTGTATTCCATTCAGAGTAGAAGATTTGATATAGCTGCTGTAAACAAGAAAGATAGAGTCTAGTTCCCTGAACTCTTTGAAAGTCAACCCATATTTGCCATAACCTTTGCAGTAAGCATTTTTTCCCCTCTGGTCATTAGTTGTCATTCTCCTGTGATCTTTTAATTTGACTGTGAGGGATACATATGAAGCACCACTAAAAAGTTTCATTTTGGTTATAACTTTATAGCATTATTTGCTCCAAACTCTTTAAAAACAACTTTACCCTTTCTAAGCACTGCCAGTGACCACGTGGCCATAAGGATGGCAATGAGAAAAATCTTAAAATCTATTTTTAATTAGGATTGTGACAGGATGGTATTGTGGGGCTCTCAAGTTCTTTCTGTTAAGTGGTATGACGCAAATACTGCCATGTTTTAAAAACAGGAAAAGTATCATCAAAATAAAATAAAATGGTGACAAAACTACGCCTACCATAAAAGTATATAGTGGTTATGTGCTGATTACACAATAAGCCGTCATCTGGAAATAGCCCTGGATGCTCTCACTGAATGGAAAATATTCCTAAAACATCCCACTGCTCAATTAAAACACACATACAAAAGCAATGCTTTTCTTCTCAGTCGGACCTTGCTTCTCTGTCAAAGGAACCGAATGGGTTAAATCCAAATGATCTCTGAAACCCCTCGATCAACCTTGGAGCTTCAGAGGCGCCTCCTTGCCAGCTCTTACCTGCAAGGTGTTATGCCGCCTCCAGGATCCTGTCAGAATCTGTGTCCCCGTTTTGTCTATTGACATGGCATCCCCGCAGATGTGGGGCCCAGAGATATGCCTGCAAGAAGGGCAAAGTAAAGGTGGGAAAGAACAGAAGTGATAGAAGAGGAATCAGTATGGTTGGAGAAAGCAAAAAGCAGGAAGTGAGGAGGGTGGAGAAGGGTCCAAAAGAGTGAGGTAAGAGAACTGGATGGAGAAGTAGGGGAGATATGATACGTAGGCATACCGTAGAGAATGTGGTGCTTGTATGGTCCAAAACTAGAAGGACAAAAAGCCAGAAAAATGAAGTTAGATAGGTTCACACCCTCCAACACCCACTTGATAACATTTCCCTTGCCTGGCCTATCTCCTATGGAATGATCAATGATGCCAGCAATTCTGGAATGCATTTTAGGGTGTGCCTCTTGGGACGAAGTACACAATGCATAAAATACCTATCATGCAGCCACCGTTCTGATCTTTTTTTTTTTATTTATTCCAGTGCAGGAGGGGGCTCCCTAAAGCCCACAGGCCCCCTGTGACCCGGAGAGATCTTCCTACCAAGATTGCAAAGCTAAACCTCAGAGCAATTACCTACTTTGGGTAGCATGATTTAAATTAAAAAAAAAAAAAAAAAGACTCTCTCTTTTAATAGGGTAACACATCTGTTTGGAGCAATCCAGACAATTCAAATTCCACCCTCAAATTGGCTGAAAAATTCAGCCTCATCTCCTCCAGAGATGGCACCACCACATCACTGCCCATCTGCCTCTAACCTGTATCTTATACCCTCCAAAGACCAAATAAAATAAAATATTTTAAAGGTGTGACCCTAGTCCCAAATGTTGCCCACCCATAGCCCACAACTTTGGACCATTAAACATGGGGTGGGGCAGGGGGGACCTAACCTTTTTTTCAGCCCCTTTGTTAAGAAAGAGCCCACCATCCTTTCCCCCATTTATGGAGACAAGTTAATTATTTTTAAAAAGAGGGTGGGGGCAGGGGAGAGATTAAGCT